TGGCTCTTTTCTTTTTTATCTTCGTCACCATGTGCTCTATTTTTAGTTTTTTGTTTCTCTTTCTTGTCGCTTATGTGTTGGTTGAAGAGGATTCTAGTTCTAGAGGATAAAACATACAAATGTCAGTTGTATATTTATCCCTTTTCATTGCAAATTCTATCACCCCACCCCCACCCCAAAGATGAAATGAATAAAAAAGGATAGAAAGAACACTAACTAATCAATCTACTTAATGTTATCCAAAAATCCCCACTTTAATTCCTATGACAATAACTATGTATTTTCTATGGAAAAACATTAGACTCTCCATTGCAGTATGCATCAACTGCCAAGGTAAGGGATAGAAGATAAAATGGAAGTTTCTCCACCAAAATTGTAAGAGATGGGAAAATAAAGTTAATAAATCAATATAAAGATAAGTGGTGCATTTTCCAAGATCATTTCTGTTCAAACATGTAACACAAAGCACCTCTTTTTTCCTCCACCAGGTACTTTTTCATGAACCAGATATATCACTCACCTAACTGATCATTTCCCTTCCCGTATTTATTCGATGAAAACCCAACAGTTAGATGAATTACGTGGAATAGGCATTCAGGAATTCGGTTTAATTTTCAGATGAAAGTTAATCAAAAAGAACCATTGTATTGGAGTTTAGTTAACAACATTTAGCAGAACGTAATGCACCAAGTCCAACTTAGCAAAGGAAAATGGTATACTCACTTCCCTGCAAACATGCTAATACCTATATCCACAGGACGATAACAAAATCAATTGCATAAGACTGAAGTTTCATGCTCTTACCTTCACAAATGTATTTACTGCAAGTATAGCAAGATCAGGCTGGCTCTTAGCATAATTGATGAGATATAAATAGACAAGCTTCTTGAGCTCCAAATTTTCTGTTTGCATGCAGTTCACAACGTCTGTAAACAGAGAGGACACGTCCTTCCCCACTGTCATTGCAGCAATAACCTTTTTAACCGCATCTTTTCTCTTATCCTGCGAGAATTAAAAACAGAAAAAAGTAAAGTTTTCCATTTCATCTTAAAGCTAAAAAATGCACACACCAAAAGGTCATATTTTCATAAATTAGGTAAAAAAATAAGACAAATAACCAATTATCCCCAAATTGCAGTCTAAATTGAACAAGTAAACAAATCACGTTGGGAAATAGCAATTCTAGAACACTAAAATCACATAGATCAATCCATCAATTGAAGACTAAAATTCGTTAAAACTCATAATTAAAAAATAAAAATTACTAGATCTAATATTCACCCCTACCAAACCCGCAGTGAAAATGCACGAAAATAAAAAAATAAATAAAAAATTAATCAGCTAATCACGAATGTTTCTGTAATTGCTATACGTATGTGTACACATGTAAGTGAGTGTCAAAATGGATGGATCAGTTTATGAAATGGGACCTTGTACTGAGAATTGAGTTCTTCTTTGAGCTCAGGGATTTCACCCTTTTTAGTTGTGGAGAAGTACTTGGAGTCGTGCCCGCTCATCTCCGTTCACCGGAGGAGAAGACTACACAACAGAGCTCCCGGTGCGTATGTGTGGGAAGAGAGGGAGAGAGATTGCGAAAAAAACCAAGGGGGCTAAAAACGTCAATGGAGAGAAATTTGCTGTATTTAATTTAGGAGAAATGCACCGTTAAACTCTAATTTATTGTCTAAGTAACAAGTTTATTCCTTTATTATTTAAATTGTCTTCAATTTTTATTAATAAAATATGTAATTGAAAAAACTGATAAAAGTTGTCACCCCAATGAGTTTAAAGAAAAATAAATTTTGAAAAATGGAGACCACGTGTTGGCTAAATTTCACATTGTACAAGTAACGATGTCTGGTGAAGTGGTTGGTCATAACAGTTGTGTTACATGTACATAACAACTTATATAATGATTTACCAACAGATGATGTGACGAAATTTTATTGGATTAAATCTCATCAATCAAATAATTTTTCCAATTACATTTTAACACTTCACCATTATGTAAAATATTTTATAAATAATTATATACAAGAAGCATTTTTCTGCTCATAGGCGTGTGGAGTGTTGTTAATTGTAAGGTCTCCATCATTCGGGGGAGTGTTGTTAATTTTAAGGTCTCCATCACCTAGCGGTGTATTCAAGATCAACTAAAAACATTTTTAAGTTAGATTAATATGTAAAAAAAAAAGAAAAAAGATAAAACCAAGTGTACTGATGATTTATTGCCAAATGCTATGCAGCATCAAAGTGATCAGATTTTTTTTTTCTTTTTTTGCAGTCACCAATGAAATGGCACCATCTCACCATCTGTATAAATTATGGCAATAAATTTTGTACACCAAGCATGATTCAAAAAAAAATTCACATAAATTTCGTTTTACATTTATTTCAATTTTTTTTTACACATCAACAATTAAAATGGGCTGTCCCCTAAATCCGCCAGTGCCATCACCTACACTACATAGACCCACTTTTTATTTCATTTCGTGAAAAATAAGCTTGATTAGTAGTATTCACCCATTCCATCTTATTGTATTGAGTAAAAGAGGATTGAGTAGCAAATGCATACAACAAATCTCTATTGGGGAGAGCCTTTTTTTTTTTTTTTGTAATGATGTCTACAAGTTAGAAATGAAATATAATTTCATGAGAATTACTTGTAATTATCTAAGATGTATACATTTTTGTTATTGGAGACTGACTGTATATTTGACTTGTATCATTTTAAGGTTGAGGACCGATTTGCTAGGGACTGATGATGCTACATTTTAATGGACTTTGTTAGAGGTACATAAATTTTCATATAATAGCTCACATAATTACACGTGGCACATATTTAACATTTAATTCAAATTTCACACTTTCACATCAACCACCGGATGGATGCCATATCACATTATGTACCCCTCTATGTACATAAATTATGTACAAAAAGAATTATCCTTGNAAAAAATAAAAAATAAAATAACTTTAGCAACTCGATAGGCTGGCTGCTGGCGTCTGGTACAACTCGAATAAAGAATCCAACGGGCTGTGGCCCATTCGATCTGGATGGGCAATGGAAGTTGGACAAGGCCTCTCTTTAGGAAATTTACACAAATAGCACTAACATGGGCCATTTAATGGACTCCGGCTCTTCCTTTTCCAGGAATAGCAGGTCGCCTTTTTTGCCCAAAGCCCATCATCGTTTGCTGCCTCAGCACTTTTTTTTTTTTTTTTT